GGTATATAGCGGCCACTGTCTCGGCCTGTCAGAGTTGACAGACTAGGCGATTGAGTTTGGGAGAAATAGGCGAGGACAAAAGGCGTGAGCACAGGCGAGGGAAAAGCACCACTTGGCAAAGAGATACGACCAAGCCAATATTGCTTACAGGCCCATTCGACGTAACGTAAAAAAACAGTAGATTGCCTGAAATCAGAGAATGACCCGAAACACTTTCCATGACGAAACTTATTTAATTATATATAAACTCTAGTATAATGATAATAGTATTACGAGTCCATAGTTTTGATGTACTCCCTCTGTTCCAAAATAAGTGCGCGAATCAGGAAGTTGATGTATGCCTCCTCCAATAAAAATACAAAACACTCCAACCTTGAATACTTTAATATACATTTATACAGGTGTAACGATACACTGGGCCAATCAGAGGATGCCAAATACGTGTCTCAGGACCAATCAAATGACGACTTTCGGTCATTCTGACACTGTGTGAGCTTGGCCTTAACTTGCTCTGCAGTAAACGCCTTCTTTCTGCCAACTCTGCCCTTCTTCGTACTTGCAACAGTGACTTCGCAAGAGCAAGGACCCGGCGAATGGTGGAAATGTGGCAGTTGTACTTGTTGGCCAGTTGCTGGCTCAGATCCTTTGACAGCCTCGACATGTAGCTGCCGTTGCTGAGAAACAAGACCTCTCGAAGGATGGCCTCGGGCTCGTCGTCGGCAAGGTTGCGTCTTTTGATTGGCATTTGAAGAAAGTTGGTAGTAGAGTGTGTATGTTATATATGGATATTTGTATACAAGATTTTGAACGCAGGTAATGGCGTCATCTCTTTAGATTTCCTGCTCATTGTTGCATCCACGGCGAGCTCTTGGTGCGCTTGTACTCATGATCCAATCATAGCAGTGCATTTCGATTCGAGGCAGGTAACACCATGTTTTCAATTTTACTTCTGAATATAATGACGTGTCATGTCGCCCCTCCTCAAACTCGCGCACTTATTTTGGAACAGAGGGAGTGATTATTACTCCGTACAACTACTGGAATCAGATAATTTTATATGGAATAAAGCATCTGGGCTTGAACTCTAGCTAGCCTCTTCGTGCTGACATTTTTCACTAATACATTGTCACATTGGATTCACCTTGCGTTGATTGGTCTATTTGTATCGAACCTGTACAGTTTGGTTAATTGTGAAAAAACTATGCACCACTATATAGAGACTTCCTTAAAAAAAATTCCAGAGTACTCCGAGTAGTACAAACTAGTGAGTACAAACTAGTATAGGGCGGCACCATACGACTGGAACTAACTGTAAGTCCTGATTATGGTGTTCCAAAGGTTTAATGTGGACCTCTGCCACACACAGGCCACCGATATTGGCACACTGCAAAGTGATAATGCCGAGGAATACGAAATACTGGCTGGTCTGATTGCGCCCAAATATCAAAGCCGAGTCACATTTTCTAACGCGTACTTCCCAAATCAAAAGGCTGTAGCAGAGCGTCGTATCGGCCTTGTGGTTCAAAAGGATGCGTGCAATGCTCATAGAAGGGCCACTCCCCAAGTTCATGTCGGCCACTGCCCTCGAGTATGCCTCTTGGCTAATAAACATTACTCCATCGTCATCCAATTCGGGGAAGTCTCCATACTTCCTAGTATTGAATACTCACCCAGCATTGAGTTACATCAAAACGTTTGGCTGTACTGCATACGTTCATATCCAAAAAGCAGATCAGGCGACGAAACTTGACCCTCGTGTTATCAAAGTCATGTTCATTGGTCTTCCCGATAATCGGAAAGGATATGCTATCATGAATCTGAATTCCCATGCTCGAATTTGTTCGCGGGACGTCACATTCTGGGAGTCTTAATTCCCTGCAATAACACCGTTGATGCGGCAGCTGCTTATCGCACACGGGTGGCTAGTGATCCCAATTTTATCCCTACCCTTGAGCCTAATACCCCTTTATTCCCCTTGCATTCCATCCTGGATGGCGTTTCTAGTCCCAATATCCTTGTCATGAATCAACCTGTGGCACATTCGTCACATCAACAAACCTAACTAGTTGCTGTATCACGCGATGTTCTCGCAGCAACGCAATATACCTCAGTGGGCCAGCTATATCGCGAAATACAGGATTTTCCGTTAGCAAGTCCACTGTTCGATCCCACAAATTTTACACTTCGCCGGCATTTGGCCCAGAGGTCATCCTCGCCACCACCGCCCCTGTATCTACAACCGACAATCACGTTACGATCATTGGACTTGAAACTATGTGCTGTGGATGACACAGTAGTGGACGGCGGTGCAAGCTCCGTTGTCCTGCCCTCCACTTCGCTTTCACCATCGATCGTTGAAAACACCAATATTCCCAATATATGCAAATCCAAGGAACATACTAGTACATACCAAAACTCTGTTCGATTGGCCACAGCACAAATCGGATGATTGTCATCCCACTTTTCACCAGATTATCTGGACTCATAGATGATATATTCACTCTTGGCCGAACGTGCAGTATCCAAGTCACGCCAAGATCCCGAGGATTGGCGCGAAGCCATGAGTCATGATGACCACAAAAAGTGGCTTGCTGCTGCAACGGACGAGTATAATTCTCTGTTGTCCAATGGGACGTACGAA